TTTTTTTCTCCTCCCTTTCTCTTCCTTTACGGGTTTTTTCTTTTTTTTTTTTTTTTTTTTGGTGGGAAAGCAGCAATGGTGTTAGAGACACAGTTGGAACTGTACTTGTGGACTGTTGCGTAGAAAATCTAGGTTGGTCGCGCCACTTGCATTTGGACCCATGCTTGGGAGACCCTATTACAGAAGAATTTTTGCACGTCACCCCAAAATTCATAATGAATTGAATAGACAGCGGCAATGACAAATTATAAACCTGTGGAAAAAGATCTAGAGGATTTGCATTTGGTCCAGTTGAAGGAACAAGTCCTGGTTGTGAAGCTTGCTGAGGCTGAGCAGACACATTAGGAACCTGACCGGTAGGTGCACTTCCAGCTGTAGGTGGAACTTCCACTGGCTCGGGAATACCCTAATATTTACATTTCAAACGGGAGTAATGAGGAAAGAGATATAATGGCCTGAACAACAATGCATGAACATGCAGATATGCAACATCTACAAAAATACTCAAACCTCAACAAGAGATTTCAAGTGATGATACTTATGATGGTTTAACAGGTAATGTTAACACGTAATAATAAAAGAGCTACTGGTAAAAACACGCACTTATTTCTCTCAACAGGAAGAAGCCTAAGAAAGAGGTAAATTTCTTTCTCCTTTGAAAATATTCATGGAGAGTTGACACTGACAAAAGTATAAGAAATAGATTTTCCTCTAGTTCAACAGGATATCAACTCTTTTAGTTGTTGCACATTAAAGTCTCTACTTTTGACACTGCAAAGGAATGTCCAGTCAAGTGCACGGTCCTTTTATTAAACTATAAGGGCGAGTTCAGGCCGTATAAGGAAGTTAGTATAAATTATAATGGATAATACTAGGCAGATGGTATTATGGTGGATTGAGGTGGATAGGTTTTCATTTGCAGTATCAACCATATAACATAATGCAGAGGTCAGAAGTGGGTTTAAGCTAGATAAGAGAAGATATAGGAAATGACATTCTTTTATATCAAAAATCAAAGCCAATCCATCTTAATACACCATAACATCCATTATAATTTTATACTAAATTCCTCGTAATTTTATAACCCACCATCTATCTAGCAATATCCATTATAATTTTATACTATATTCCATATAATGTCTAATCAACTAACCTAAGTGTATTTTTGTGCTGAAACTAAAATATGTTAATTACACGTGATTGCATATAAAAGTAAAAGATCTTCTGATTAATGAAACTTTAAAATTAATGTGCCATATAATTAATACTTTTTCAATCTCCCCATATTATTATTCTCAGAAAAATCATGTGATGAATTGAAATTTATCTTCACACTTGACATTGCATCTTATCCTCCTATCCATAAACAACTCCAGAAAAATATACAATAAATGTTTATATATCCACCTGCTTTGCATGATAATACAGATTTAGCGACTCAGACAGTGCAACATGCAGTCAATTAAGTGCTAAAACATATTGCAAACAAATGAATAAAATAACTGATTTAAGTACTCCTCCATTTACGTGGATCTCATTTTATAAAAAGCATCAAAGAATGAATTATGCACATATAAAAATAGCAGGTAGACACACTCACTGAATATAAATATTCAACTGCTCTCTCTGGGTTGTTGTAAGCTGCACGAAGAGCTCGGACAACTGTCTCTCTGTCCCAACTTCCCCCACCCATATCAAGAATCTGCTGGACCGCTCCCTCGAGGTTGTTACCAGCAACAAGATTAGATGCAGCTTGGTCATATACATCTGACCTGATATCATACTAGCTATCGACTGTCAAATGAAAATTGCAACAAAAAAAATATGCACATAAATTTCCATTTGAGAAGAGTTACGCACACAGCACTGGCAGCTGGAGCGGGAGCAGGAATGGGAATGGGAGCAGGTGCAGGTGCAGGCCTGCAATCATCAATGGGTTGGGAATACATTAAACCCACCCCACCATACATGTACATATAAAGTGTGGAATTGGTGTAGGGAATGGGAAGGGAGAGAGCATAGTGCTTGACAAACTCCTATGCACAATAAACAGTGTAGGAAATACAAAACTCACGTTGTTAAGGGAACTTGAGAAGTAGTTGATGCTGGTGTGGTAGGAGGTGGAGCACTCGCCTGTTGAGCCTACAAGGAGGGAGACACTTACAGATACATCCCAATCCACAATAATTTCAATAAAATGATTAGAATGAACAAAATTCACCATAAAAGAGAAAAAAAAAAAAATTTTAAAAATCATGATAATGTATTCATTTTTTACAGATGGATAACTAAAAGGTGTTCAATCAAGTAAAAAAAAAATGCAAAAAACACGCAACAATATTTTGCAAGCTGAAAATGTAAAAACTTTTAAGCAATTTTTGACCTATAGCTTGGGCAACATTTGGAAAAAGCAAAGAAAGTCGCTTCATATCATAAATTGCTAAGGCATTAATATCACAATTGTACGTAGGGTGTGTTTGAGCCCCATGTTTTGAACGAATGGGTTTGTAATAGTAATTTTTTTGGAGAATATCAAGTAGGGAATAAATTTCGGTTTACGTGTAAAATTATTTTAGTGAAAGAATGTATGATTGAAAATGAGCTCAAATAGGGGCGTATTGATTATGAAAGTTATATCTGGAATAGATGCTCATCGTGGTTCATATAAAAGGCAAGAAATTGTGACAATTTAGTATGGTAATTATCCCTCTCACTGATCTAGGCAAGACGAAGGTCATAACGCAATCCTTTAGAGGCCATTTATACAAATAAATGGTGAAGCCATCTGCTATCTAGTCGACTGTTCCAAAATCACTGGAATACTCACAAATCAGACTAGAAAGCATGAACATAGGAAATGCATAATGGCACTAACAGAAAATGATATGCACATTCAAAGGCATTGTAAATAAGATGGTTTTAATGAGATTGCCAGGCGATGAAAGAGAATTAATCATCCAATTTATGTGATTGACTTATGGGGACTTAATTACCATCCAATTTTATGTTACCAAATTTATAAATGATTTTAAACAATATGAGTAAACGGTCATTCAATTTTGTATCTAGGTCTATGAAGCTAGTGCCGGACACACCAATTCACAATTTGTCACAAAAGTACCGACGCAATACATCACCGACACGTTGATTAAAATAATATTTGGTTTTAAACACTTAGTTTTTTTTAATTTTATTTTTAACTGGTTAAAATGAAATTTTGAAATTAAAAAAAGTTTTTGACTTTTTAACCTAGTTGACCAATATATTTTAGAAAGTGCTGTCTTTCATTTGAATCATTTTTAAAAGAAATCGTG